TAGATGGGCTACGCCATAAATAAGTTACTATATGTAAAAAAGCAAAAAAAACTAAAAAGCAAAAGAAAGAAAAAAAACTTAATGAAATACATTAAACTATAAAACAATATAGGGTGCAGACCGAGCAATGACTGTACCAGCCCCCCTTACACATTGGGACAGACTAGCAAGATAATACCCAACCCGGGATCACTACAGTCTTCAGATCTTAAAATTACATAATAAACACTACCAATGTAAAAGGGAAATTCCAGATTTTGCTAAATAAATAAATGAATAAATAAACGCTTCTTCATAAAATACATATTATTTTTTACAGGATTATTATGTGAAAATAAAAATAAAAAAGCCTAAACATCTTTTTTTTTTCTTTTATGTTCATTTATTTATTTATTTTTTAGGTGGACTACACCATAAATAAGTTACTATATGCAAAAAAGCAAAAAAAGAAAGAAAAAAAACTTAATGAAATACAGTACATTAAACTATGAAACAATATAGGGTGCAGACCGAGCAATGGCTGTACCAGCCCCCCTTACACATTGAGACGAGCTAACAAGATAATACCCAGCCCGGGATCACTACAGTCTTCAGATCTTGAAATTGCATACTAAACACTACCAATGTAAAAGGGATACAAAATAAATAAATAAATGGACTCTTCTTCATAAAATAAATATTATTTTTGACAGGATTATCATGTGAAAATAAAAATAAAAGCTTAAACATCTATTTTTTTCTTTCATGAAGTTATGTTCATTTATTCTTTTTTTTTTTTTAGATGGACTATGCCATAAATAAGTTACTATATGCAAAAAAGCAAAAAGAAACAAACAAAAAAATTTAATAAAAAACATTAAACTATGAAACAATATAGGGTGCAGGCCGAGCAATGGCTGTACCAGCCCCCCTTACACATTGGGAAAGACTAGCAAGATAATACCCAACCCGGGATCACTACAGTCTTCAGATCTTAAAATTACATAATAAACACTACCAATGTAAAAGGGAAATTCCAAATTTTGCTAAATAAATAAATAAATAAATAAATGAATGAATAATTAAATAAATGGACTCTTCTTCATAAAATAAATATTATTTTTTACAGGATTATTATGTGAAAATAAAAAAGCCTAAAAGGACGCTTCTTCATAAAAAGAAAAGAAAAAACGACATTTATTATATTTTGGTTTGGGAGCGAGTAAAGCATTGCAATGCTCCGGCTCCTGCAGACCGTTCCTCCCGTCCTGTCGGGGGATCTGTAAATGGATGACTCGGCTGTGTGTGCAAACAAACCTCCGGGGAGAAGAACCCTACAATCCGGGTAAGGGGCGCAAGGAGTTAAATCTTAAAAATGCATCTAAGTGCCTTAACTGTGAACTTTATTATTTATTTATCAAAGCAATTGCGACAGTTTTAGCCTCTTAGATCATTTTTTTTTTAATGTGCAAATCTGTCTTTTAGCAAGCGCCCCTGTTTTCACCTGAGCTTGCACTACTTTTCCAACTGCACGGGTTTTGCACCTTTTTTGCACCTGTTTTCATCTGCACTTGTTCTGGGGCTGTATGAAGCTGGAGCATCACCTAAGAAAACAATCCCAACTTAAGAAGTTCCCGTGACCACTTCTTCAAGAAGAGACAGTTTAGCTTTTTGCCTGAAGTTACAAGTCTTCTTTCCTGGAGTCT